GGCTGCTTTCTGGATGTCGTTGCTGAGCTGCTGCCAATATTCGTTCGCACAGTGTCTGGCAACCTGTTGAGCCTTGCTCCTAGTAGCCCTGAGAATTTGTAGGTTCCTCTGGCTTGGTGACCGCTTGTATTCTGCCAGGGCGGCGCGCTTGGCTTCTATGACTGGAATCATCACAGAGGACTTTGCTTCAAACCAGTCGTGCGTCTTTGTGGTCCTCTTTCCAAAGGTTGCCAGGGCAGTGCAGTGCATTATGTTCCGCAGTGTTTCCCACTTTCCCATGGCAGAGTCTCCTGTCTGTGTGGCGTCAAGTTCCTTCTCAAGCGCTTCTGCGAATTTCTGCGTCAGGTCAGGCTGCGACATCTTGCTGACGTCGATGCGAGGATTTCCTTGTTTCCTTGAACGATAAAACCTCTTCGGGTTCAGCCTGATCTTGCAGCACACTAAGGAGTGGTCTGTGTCGCAGTCAGCGCTATGATAAGAGCGTACGTGCAGGACGCAATTGATAGCTGAGCGGCGAACTAATATAAGGTCCAACTGGTGCCAGTGTTTCGAGCGCGGATGTCGCCAGGAGACCTTATGCTGGGGCTTGGTCTGAAAGTATGAGTTGGTGATGCACAGGTTGTAGAAAGCGCAGAGCTCGAGCAGGCGTTGGCCGTTCTCGTTCATTTTGCCGACGCCAAATTTTCCGAGGCACGAAGGCCATGAGTCATTGTCCGCACCTACTCTGGCATTGAAGTCACCCAGAAGGATGAGTTGTTCCTTGTCGGGGATGCTGTTGATGACAGATGTTAGGTTCTCATAGAACCGGTCTTTAGTTTCCAATGTTGCGTTCAGAGTTGGGGCGTATACGCTGACGAGGGTGATAGGGCCCGTGGTGGTGTTGAGACGAAGGGTGAGGAGTCGTTCTGAGCCATTACTGCCTGGTTCTACCATACTCAGTAGGCTATTTTTCACCGCGAAAGCTACGCCATGCTGTCTGGGCTCGTCTGGGGCCTTTCCCTGCCAGTAGAAGGTGTAGTCTTTTTCTTTCAGAATGCCTGAGTCTGCCAGTCGTGTTTCCTGTAGGGCGGCGATGTCTACGTTCAGCCTCAGAAGTTCGTTGTTGATGACTGCTGTCTTTCGTAGGTCGTCAATGTCCCAAACGTCTTCGGAGAGGCCCGTCAACATTGTACGGACATTCCAACATCCCAGTTTAAGAGGTGGTCTCTTTCTCAGTGTTTTGTTGCCTGGTGCGATGGTTGCAGCCTGCCGTTCGGAATATTCCTAATCCCCATGCACCCAGTGAGGAAAGCAGACTGTGGCGGGGGAGTACCTGACTGTCTGGGGGCTGCCCAGCTTGAGGCGGGCGGTAACTGCCCAGTGAGACCCGAAGATCCCTCCCACCGTCGGGAACAACCCCTGGCGCCATGCTCTACGCCAATTGAGCTGTGGCTTATAACCGGTAAACTGTTGCTCCCCGTGTTGTTTCCGCGCTAGTAGCGCTAGCGAGGCTGGAGTGTCCTCTCCAGGGTTGCGAGATATGTTGGTAGTCGGATACTAGCCAGGGCGATGTAATATGGAGGAACAGGCTATTGCCCACGTAGCGGGTCCCCCCTCTCCACGTCGTCGATGGATCCAAAGGAACAGCAGGGCTGCTACAGTTTGGCATCGGCGCCGTCGCAGGAGTTGCCAGAGCGAGGCTGCAAGCAGCGTCGAACTGTCTTAGGGACTCCGGAGTCGGAGTCCCTAAGACAAGATAGCTAATTTAGACCCCATCATTCTGTATGTACAGTTGGAATTATGTTTTTCCATGTGCGTTACTCTGCATTTATCAACATTGAATTCAAGATCAGTTTTGAATAAGTTGAACAGTGCTGGTCCCAGTACAGACACTTGGAGCACACCACTATTTATTTCTACCCTTTGTTTCCTACCTTTTACAAGAAGTACCTGGCCGTGTTTTCATGATCATCTAACAATTCTTCAGTTATTTGAATGACAAGTCTTTTGTTATCATAGTCTCCCTGCCTCCCTCTTTTTATAAACAAACTCCTTGCCCCAAAGGCAAATCTGGGAGTAGCCCAAGCTCTGTTGCAGTTGCGAGCGGCATCTAAGGCTAGGGTATGGGCTTTAACATGCCTCAGGTATGAAATTCAGGGGGTTAAACTTCAGCAGGGCTATAGCTCCCTAGCCTCCCCCTCCCAATGGCTCTTCTGTCACCCGGGCAGCCTGGTCCTGGTAGCATGATTCTCCCATCTGAAATGTCTACAGTTAAAGGGGAAAGAGAATGGGGATTAGCAGTCCTGCATGTTGGACAAATCTCAAGTCCTACAACTCTTTCTCCTTTTGTGGCACTCGGCTTTCCTGCTTGTCTCACTGGCAAGTGCATACTCACCTTTTCCTCCTTTGAAATCCATTCTCTTGTCTTTTTTCCCAAATGCTCTGTGAACCTATTCTTTGGATAAAGACAGCACTGGGAGCTCTGGAGAATTATGTTGGAGTGTGTGATACACATGTTTGGGTTTGGTTTCAGGTTTTGCCAGGAGCAGCAGATAACTTCAACAGCACACGGAAACAGTCAGTGGGTGCTCAATTCCGGGTAAAGTATTCGTGTTTTGCTATACTTTTTTAGTAACATGCAAGGGACTGCCAAAATAGCCCCAGTGCACCCAAGCATATACAATAGAACTCCTGGCACATGGATAAGGGATTTCTACGAGCTACAATTCCAGACAGTAATAAGGGGTAAGTTTTAGTTTGTACTGCTCGGCAGGACCTCCCACTGTCACAGCCCAGGCTGGCACCACTGAACTGTTCAGGATCAAAGATCCAGGAAGGTCTAATTATTCGGTTTGTTCATTATCAAGGGTTCAGGATGGTAACCCTAGCCACCATCATTCCTGCCTTGGAGAAGGGAGATTGACTGTCCACCCTCAACCTCCGGGATGCATACTTTCAAATCACAATACATCCGTCCCACAGATAGTTCCTGAGGTTTACAATAAGAGACCTACACTTCCAATACAAAGTGTTGCCCTTCAGGCTCTCTACAGCCCCAAGGGTCTTCTAAAAAAATTCTGGCAGTGATGGCAGCCCACCTAAGGAAAGGGGGCATCACCATATTTCCATACCTCAAAGACTGCTTAATTAAGGGCACCACGGCATGTGACACAGAACAGGCAGTAGCAACCACCAGAGCGCTGTTCTACTCTCTGTGCCTACAGATAAACCTCACCCCAATCCAGAGCATAGAGTTCATAGGAGCACACTTGAACTGCACAAAAGTGCAGCACAGCTTCTCAGCTATCAAGGACCTAGTGGCTATAGCACAAACTAGTCCATCCATAATGGCAAGACAATGCCTGCAACTACTAGGGCACATGGCGGCAGCCATGTTTGTAGTACCACACGCTCAGCTGCACATCAGACTGTTACACGCTTGGTTAAGGACGGTGTACAGGCCACACATACACCATATAAACAGACACCTTGCCATGCCAAACAAAATAAAGTCCACACTCACGTGGTAGACACTGCATCACAATGTGTGCAGCAGGGTACCTTCCAGCGACCATCTATAACACTAACAATCATTACAGACACCTCATTAATAGGCTGGGGAGCTCACCTGGGCAAACGTAGTACAAGCCCAATGGCACAGGGATGAGGCCAACAAACACACAAATTTCCTTGAACTCAGGGCAGTGCGCAATGCCTGTGTTCACTTCCAGCCTATAATTCAGAACAAAATGGTCCAAATATTAATGGACAACACTACAACAATGTATTACATCAATTGACAAGGGAGAGCACGATCTTATCAGTTATATCAGGAAGCTGTGAAACTGTGGGAGTGGTGTATCCCGAGGAACATAACACTGACAGCTACCTACCTTCCAAGCAAGGACAATTCCCTGGCAGATCCTTTCAGCGGAGACTTCTCTCACAATCGCAAGTGGGAAATCGACTCCACAATACTGAACCATCTATTCCAGAAATGGGGGTTTCCCTTGCTAGACTTATTTGCCACCCTCAAAAACAAGAGGTGTCCATACTGTTGCTCGAGCAGGCATAGGCCTCTGATCCTTGGGGAATGCATTCAGCATAAAGTGGGAAGCACTCCTCCTGTATGCATTTCCACCATTCCCGCTGATCCAGCACATGTTCCTGAAAATCAGGCAGGCTAAAGCTGACAAGACGTGCCACTTACAAAAAGCCCCACATACGGGCTCACCACCTCCACTGGTACAGGGAGTGCCTTCACCATGCTCCCGTAAATTACATCACTCTAGTTGTATAGACAAAGTGTAGAAATTTTTTCTCACTCTCTCACACCATTGTTACTATGAACTGAACATGGCAGTGGGCAGGAGAATAGATTTTCATCACATCAATCATCCCCAGTGGGATCAGTGGCTTCATGGCACTCCACTTGACATACCATGGCATATTCATCACCTTCTCGTCCCCCTCCTTTGGTGGTAATCGAGGCAGATCTAGCACATGATGATGAGAACTTACCTCAAATCCAATTCAGAGAGCTCTTCACTGGCCCCACAGTCCTCTGTGATTCCAGATGAGGCAGATGACCTAAAACAATTCCAAGAATTATTCAGATGAGTGGCTCAGTCTCAGAACATTACACTCCAAGAAGTACAAGACAAACAATAAAAATTACTTAAAATACTCCAACCAGCGATATCCTCAAAAGATAGCATTACCCATCCATGAGGCTTTCATGGAGCCATTGGATGTACTCTGGCAGACACCAGCCTCTTCCCCCGCCACCAACCTGACAGAGGATAGAAAATACTTTGTCCCAGTAAAAGGGATGGATTTTCTCTTCTCACATCCTCACCCAATTCATTGGTCATGGACTTGGTTCATCACAAATCAAAATACCACCCCCGGAATTCAGAATGGTGACTCTTGCATCTATTGTACCAGCACTGGAGAAAGGGGACTGGTTCTCAGCCTCGACCTTCAGGATACATATTTTCATATAACCATACATCCTGCCCAAAGGAGATTTCTCAGGTTTGTGATAGGACAAGAACACTACCAACACCTGTTCATGGCCCCTCAAGTATTTTCCAAGATGGTAGCTGTGATCAAAGCCTTCCTCAGGAGGCAGAGCATCATTATTTTTTCCTGCATCAGCAAGTGCCTAATCAAGGGGCCCTCACGTCAACAAACAATAGCCATGACAAACACTACCAGAGATTGCTTCTCCTAACTGGGCCTCATTATAAATATCCACAAATCTATCCTACAGCCTTTCCAAAAGATAGAAATCATTGGGACACTCCTAGATGCAGTGACAGCAAAGCCTACCTCACTGCAATGATTCCAAACGTTATGCAACCTTATCAGGGGAGTCAAACATACTCCCTTCACCACATCACGCACATGTGTTCAAATGTTGGGACACATGGCAGCCACAACCTTTGTCGATTTATTCATGAGACTACATATGCACTTCTTACAGTCCTGGTTTGCAATTATCTATATCTCCAACCAACACAAACTCGCAAAGCATCTCACACTCCCACCATTAGTCCTACAATCTCTAGACTGCTGGACCTCTCCAAGCAATCTGCTAGCCAGCATACCTTTCTATTGCCCAGACCCATCAGTAGTGATCACGAACAATGCATCACTTCTGGGCTAGGGTGTCCACTGTGGCATGAAAATGGTACAGAGCAGATGGTCTCAACTTGAGATGCACCTCCATATCAACATCCTGGAACTCAGGGCCATCCACAAATCGTGCACTAACTTCCTTCCCCTTATAAAGGGCAGAACCATTTGTGTCCTCACAGACAACACACCCTCTATGTTCTACATCAGGGGTGGCCAACCCATTCCAGATGAAGAGCCACAGTAGCAGTGGAGACAGCATGAAGAGCCAGGGCAAAGTTATTGAGCCAAAAAAAAAAAAAAAAGGCCGCACTGGGGGAAAATAGGTTCTGGTACACCGTCCCACGGCTGCTTTTTTGTTTGTTTGTTTGTTTTGCCTGGATCTTCACAGCCCTGCCTTTTTTTGGGGGGAAGGAGGGGAAGGCCTCAACATCTTTGTCCAGGCTCTTCACGCTGTCTCCACTGCTATTGTGGCTCACAAAAAAAAAAGCACTGAGAAGGGTTGAGAGGTGCAAGCTCTGGGAGAGAATTTGGGTGCAGGAGGAAGTAGAGAAGAGGATGCTGGCTCAGGGAAGGGGTTCCAGGCTGGAGAGTGTTGGGGTCAGGTGGAGGGTTGGGTGCTGAGTAAGCCGCAGGCTTGTGGCTGTGAGAGTGCAGGAGTTTGGGCTGGGATGCATGAGGGGCTCAAGGCAGGGAGACTGGGAGCATGATGGGCTCAGGACACAGATTTTCAGTGTGTGGATGGGGGAGATGCTGGCTCAGGCTGGAGAGTGTTGGGCTCAAGTGGAGGTTTGGGGGGCTGAGCAAGATGCAAGCCAGTGGTTGTGAGGGTGCAGGAGTTTGTGCTGGGGTACATGAGGGGCTCTGGACAGGGAGGCTGGACATATGATGGGCTCAGGACACAGATTTGCAGTGTGTGGATGGTGCAGGAGTGTTGTGTCAGAAGACTGGGGATGTGGGGGTGAAGGATTTTGGGGATGTGAGAGGCTCTGAACAGGGGGTTCCAATGTAGGCTCAGGTTTGGGGTCTGGAGGCTGCAGGAATGTTATGACGCTGTGGCCAGATGGGGACTTGGCCCCAATTGGGGGCTTGTTGGCCAGGCTTAATTTTTAAATAAAATATGTCAAACACAAAATGTTTCAGTGTTGTCTTTATTTATGAGAGGGATGGGGAACTTGTTTTGAGTCAGGGGTCACTGACCCACAGAAAAGTCAGTCGGGCCATACAAGTGAGAGGCAAAATAACAACCCCTCCAAAAAAAACCAAGCCTCACTAATGTGGCCCCAACTATGCTGGTGGGGGCAGCAGACAGGGTGCTGGGGCAGAGTACTCGTGGGAGGAGAGGGTCTGGCCAGGGGAAGGGGACAGACACAGCTGGGGCCAATACCTGGGGATTCCAGGTCTCAGGAAGCACATGAGCTGCTTTTCCCCTCCCCTAAACAGCTGGTTTGCTTCCTGAAATGCCCGGTCTGTCGTTCCACCGGGGACTTCCTTTCCCCCTCTGCCTGCCTGCACAGGGTGTGTATGTGTAGGAGTCCCAGGACTGCATGCCAGCTCCAACTTCTCAGGAAGCACGCATTCTTCCTCTGCTCCCCACAATAGCCGCGTGCTTCCTGAGAAGTTGGAGCTGGCATACAGTCCCAGGATTCCTACTCCCTCCCCCATCCTCTCCTGTGCAGGCAGGCAGCAGGGGGAAAAGTCCCCAGTGGTGCAACAGACTTGGCATTTCAGGAAGTGTGCCAGCTGGGAAGGGGAAGAGAAGCCTGCTCTACCCCAATCCCCCTCTCCTCCCCTTCCCCAGAACCAGGCACCCCTTCCCCCCTCCGCTCTACCCCAATCTCCCTCTCCTTCCATTCCCCAAAGCCAGGCACACATCCCCTCCAACCCAATCCCACTACCCCTGCTCTAATCTAATTCCCGGGTCCTGGAGCCACCGCCCCTACAGCCACGTGTCTCCCTCCAGGTGCTGGGGTACGCACACTGAGCGGCTGGCTTTGAGCATGACCTGGGCAGGACACCGTGCACAACCCAATCCCCCTCCTTTCCCCCTCCCATTCCCCAGAGCCAGACAACTCCCCTCCCTGCTGTAACCCAATCCCCTCCCCCCCCCAACCTTCTACTCGGGTCCCAGAACCAGAGCCGCTGCGCCGCATCCGGGATGCCATGCACACTGTCCCCTACACCCGATCCTCCTCCCCTCCCCTTCTCCAGAGCCAGGCGTCTTTCCCTCCCCCACACACACCTTATTCCCGGGTCCTGGAACTGCTGCTGAAGCCACTGCCTGCGCTCAGCAGCCAGCTGCTAGCACGTGCAGGCTGACACACAGTGTGCGACCCGTCCTGCACGTGCTGGATATGATGTAGTGCACTGGGGGCCATGAGCAGAATGGTGCGGACCGTGAGCATGCATGCGGCTCACAGTGGCCCAGCTGTGAGAGCGGCTGATCTGAGCCTGCTTCATTTGCACCTTGGAAATGTCTAATTTACATCCCTCTGCCAACAGGGGTGTAGTTTAGACGTAGCCTTGTAGAGCCGCAACATGGTCTTCCCATCATACTTTTGCGTAACATTATGCCTTACAGAAAGGATCCATACCTACCACCACTCTAGTAGATGCAGTCCTTGCTTCTTCACATTAATGACTCCAATGCCACCACCCTGTGGCAGATACTGCTACTTAGTCACCAGAGTGGAGCACCCACAGGGACACCATTCAAAGGAGAAGTTATTCACCCTGTGAATTAACAGTGGTTTTTTGAGACATTTGTCCCCATGGGTGGTCCCCTCCTCTCCTCTACTGGGAGTCCTTTATAGGATTTCTGGTAGAAAAAGAACAGAGAGAGGATCACGCCACACGTATATCTAATGGAAGAAAACAGAGTGAGAGGGCAACTGCGCATGCATGGCACAGGAAAACACTACTAGGCAAAATCTCCGATCAGCAGTGTGAGGTAGCACACCAGGACCTGAGTGGAGCATCCACAGAGGAACACATCTCAAAGAACCATAGTTACTGCACAGGGTGAATAACTTCTTCCTTTCAAGATGTCATAGAGGTGACATATTCAATGTCAGAGCTAATTACAAATTGTAACATATAAGGTTTAAAAACATCGCAACAGACCGTTCAAAATGAAGTGGGCAGTTAACACTACTATAGTCCTAGCACAAAGGAGGGTGAGTGAGTTACAAATTATCATAATGAACCCCAAATCAGGAAATTATTTGGCATACTGAGCTGCTAATCCACGTCTCTGCTTCTTACTAGCATTCCCTATCAGTACTGATGGAACGAATGTACTCTGCTAACCCACACTTTGTGCGCTGCATCAAGCCAAACAGCCGGAAGGAGCCAGGTGTGATTGACAGCCAAGTGGTGCTGGAGCAGGTGAGTGAGGAACTGTCTCCTTTGCAGGGCAGTGTGGATCAGAGAGCAGCCCTTCAATCAGATCCTGTCAGTAAGGAGCCATCCTGTGAAACAACAGCTGGGGCTGAACACAGCTGGGACTGGGCAAGACTAACCCCTTTGTAAGGGTGGGGTTTGAAGACCTCAATGATCAAGGCTCGCCGAACTGCCAGCCACGCTGTCCAGCGATCGTTCTGCGCATGTGCGGATCGCCGAAACCCGGCTCTTCCGGGTTACAATCTACTCGCCACAGGCGAGTAGATTGTATAATTTGTCGAGCCCTGTCAATGATCACTGAAATCTTACTCTTTCAGCAATGAAGGGGGCAGGAGCAGAGAAGGCATAGCTCTTTCTCTACTTAAACTTAGGGTGGTTAGGATTCACCACACTCCAGAGCACTGGCACCAAAATCCGTACTCCAGCCTCTCCCTCTACTACTTTTTTCTAAGCACCACAGAGCTGCCTCCCAGGGCACTAAAATTCTCCCTCCCACACTCCCCCATCCCCCAATCCTTAGTAAGATACACAGATGGGTGCAGTGTCCCTAGGATTCAAGGTCTCAACCTCAGATTGTACTTTCCCTGCTGCGGTGATAGCTCTTCTGAGGAGAATCGTTTTCAGGTCAGTTATACGGAACAAGCTGGGTCTTGAGGTACAGCAAAATGCATTGTTAGGAGGTTAGGTCCATCAATACTTATTAGCCAGGATGGGTAGAAATGGGGTCCCTAGCCTCTGTTTGTCAGAGGCTGGAATTGGGTGACAGGATGAGTCACTTGATGATTAGTTGTTCTGTTCATTCCCTCTGAGGCATTGTTATGCTACTGGTGGGAAAGTAGATTACACAAAATGGAGATGTGATTGGAAAACAGCTTTGGGATCTGGGTGGATAACCAACTGAACTTGAGCATCAGCTGTAATGCCTTGCCTAGGAAGGTTGATGTGAATACGTGCACATGCAGGGTTTGGTGAGCAGAAGTTAGGGAGGTGTTATTTCTTTTGTATAATACATTGATGAGACCATTACTGGATACAATTTCATTTTATTAAGTAGCATATGAAAAGCCTTTTGCAATACACTTCCTCTCCACAATCTAAAACAGCAACATCCAAATAATGCATGTAATCTTATACCTATACAAAAGATTTTCCTGGAGGATGATACTCTGGCATCCCACAGCCCTTCCTTCCCCTTTCCCTAGTGCTGCCACGCCGCGCCAGGCTTCCCTTCATCTCCTGTGCTTGGCAGCTGGGAGGAGAGCACAGGGTGTGCAAGGCCTCGGAGCAGCTCCCAGCTCCCACAGCAGCCTGGAGGAGAGCGCAGAGCATATGAGGCCTCTGAGCAGCTCCCCCCGCCCCGGTGGCTGGGGGCAGAGCAGGGCCTGACGCAGCCTTGGAAGGGAGAGGGGGGAGTTAAGGTTAGGTCGCGGCAGGACGGGGGTGAGAGAAAGGGCCAGGGCTGGCACAGATGGAGGTAGAAAAGGGGGCCTAGGTTGGCGCTGCTGGAGGAGGGAGAAAGGACTTGGGCTGGTGCAGCAGGAGTTGGAGATGGGAGGAGAGGGAAAAGAAGCCCGGGCTGGTGTGGCCACAGCCCAGCCCTCCCTGGTGGCGGTGGCGGTGGGGGTGAAGCGTGGGCCATGGCGAGGCCGCAGAGCAGCCCCCCTTCTGCCCTTCCCAGAGGCCTGGTGGCTGAGAATCCAGGGCTGGCACATTTGCTGGCCCGCCCTGGTGGCCAGGGGGAGAGCCGGTCCTGCCTACCCCCACAGACAAGAGTTGGCGTGTGTAGTGAGCAATGGGCACCTTCCCCTAGTACACATAATATAACAGTCATAGCCTAATATTCTTTTTTGGCACAATGCTAAAAAGGCAAAAAATGCCACAGATTTGATTGTTATTTGGGTCTGAGGAAAAGCTAAGCATTATTTTTGAGATAGTGACAATTTCTTTTTGACACAACTGAGGTAAAAACCATCATGCTTTCGGAAGCTGGAACATTCTAAGAACAAAAGATACTGGTATAGATGTTCCAATACTTCAATTTACAAGGGGAGAAAATAAGATCTAAAGGAACTTTTCCATGTCTCCCTTATGTGACAGCAGATTCCATGGCTTGAAATCTTAACTGTGTATATGCCTTACGTAACTTTGAGTTTGTTAGTCCAAAACATGAGCTGTCTTCAAAGTAGAAAACCAAAAGACACTTAGAATTGTGAATCATAGCCAGATATTCTTTGTAATATCTGTCTTTGTCTGTTAAATAGTTGATTAAGTTGATTAAAAGATCAACATTAAGAAAAAACCAAGCCTAGTTGTGATAAATTGAAGGCTCTTATACCATGGAAATAAGCAATACACAGGCTGTTCCTCCATTTTCTGATGGTGAAAACGGAGCCATCTTTAATCTGGAAGAGTACAGATTTTAAACCAAAATAAAAAAAGCAGTATATGCTCTTATACTTAAAGAACATCCACTTTAGCATATAAAAATCGCAAGTCTCCTCAAAAAAATTATTTTGAAGAATCTAAAGCCTAAATATGGCCCTTTGCCAAACTGGGGCCTCGTACAGCATTGGTAGTATTATTTTAGCATTCACAATTTTCATTGTTGGGCAATTGTGTTCTCATCATATGAGAAGGTAAAGCAGAGCATCCCATGAACAGAGCTGAGGGCCACGTTATTTTATTAATCGTACCTTGAGTGGACTGTATAGTTGTCTGCACTATTGGTGCTTTCAGCAGGCAGTTTCTCAAGTATAGGAATATCATTATGCCCTCTCTGTGTAGATGGGCCACTAGAATCATAGGGCTGGAAGAGACTTCAGGAGATCATTGATTCCAGCCCCTGCCCAAAGCAGAGCCAACCCCAACTAAATCATCCCAGCCAGGACTTTGTCAAGCCAGGACTTAACCACCTCTAGAGATGGAGATTCACTCACTTTCCTAGGTTACCTATTTCAGTGCTTCATCACCTTCCTAGTGAAATAGTTTTTCCTAATATCCAACATAGACTTCCCCCACTACAACTTGAGACCAATGCTCCTTGTTCTGCCATCTGTCACTACTGGGAACACCCTTTCTCCATCCTCTGAACCTCCCTTCAGGTAGTTGAAGGTTGTTATCTAATTCCCCCTCACTCTTCTCTTCTGCAGACTAAATAAGCCCAAATCCCTCAGCCTCTCCTTGTAGATCATGTGCTCCAGCCCCCTAGTCATTTTGGTTGCCCTCCGCTGGACCCTCTCTAATGTGTCCACATCCTTTCTATAGTGAGGGGCCCCAGAATTGGATGCAATACACCAGATGTGGCCTCACCAGTGCCGAATAAAGGGGAATAATCACTTCTCCAGATCTGCTGGCAATGCTCCTCCTAATGTACCCTAATATGCCATTAGCCTTCTTGGCTACAAGGGCACACTGTTGACTCATATCCAGCTTCTCATCCACTGTAATCCCCAGGTCCTTTTCTGCAGAACTGCTACTTAGCTAGTCGGTTCCCAGCCTGTAACAATGCTTGGAATTCTTCTGTCCCAAGGGCAGGACTCTGCACTTGTCCTTGTTCAACCTCATGATATTTCTTTTGGCCCAATCCTCCAATTTGTCCAGGTCACTCTGGACCCTATCCCTACTAGAGCCAGTATTTGGAAAATACCCTTGGTTACAGTGGAAAGGCCAAAGGGCAGGACTTTGTCTTGAAAATAGTCCTGTGCTATTGTATATAGCAGAAACTTCTGATGCAATGGATGGATGCATATGTGAAAATATGTATCTTGGAGGTTGAGGCCTGAAAACCAGTCCCCTCTCTCCAATGTTGAGATTATGGTGCTTAGTATAATCATTTTGAATCTTTGTGTTTTTAAATATTCAGTAACCTTAAGTCTAGAATAAGTCTCCATCCACCTGTCTTTCTCGGCATGAGAAAATACTGGGAATAAAGCCCTTTCCCACTGTTCTCTGCTGGTATAGGTTCTGTGGCTCCCAGGGATATAAGATAGTTCATATCTTTGCACAGTAGGTGTTCATGAAAGGGGTCCCTGTAGAGGGATGAGGAAGGGTGATGGAGTACCCAGTTTTGATGATTTCCAATACCCATCTGTCCTTGGTGATGGACTACACTTTGGAAAACGCAATCCTAACTAAACATATAAAATGATGGGGACTAAATATGTTTATACATGGGGGGGGGTCAGGTGGGAGACAGTGCTCACATGGAGCAAGTTTAAAAGCTAGCTTCCTGTGCGTGCTGGTTCCCACCTGCTCCCAAAGCTCCCCGCACTGCTTCCTGTGTCACAGGCAACAGTGCTGGGGGAGGGGCAGGTGGCTTGGTGGGAGCCAATACATGCAGGGAGCCGGTGCTCATGAGGTGCCAGCTTTTAAGCCAGCTCCCCGCAAGCACCTGTTCCCGCCTCCCCTCCATCCCCACTGCCTCTGTGGCTCTGCCTCTGTGGTGCCATGTGGCTCTGCAGAGCTGGCATGTGTGGAGAGCTGGCTTTAAAGTTGGCTCCCCACATGTATCCGCTCCTGCCAAGCTGCCTTAACCACCCTCTCCCGCGCTGCTGCCTCCCACAGAACCAAGCTGGTACATACAGGGATCCAGCATGAAAACCAGCTTCCCATGTGTACTGGCTCCTGCCTGCCCCCCTCACCACCTATGCTGCTTCCTCTCTATCAAAGGTAGCAGGGAGCTAACTTAGGTAGAGTTAGCCTAAAAGCTGGCTCCCCATGGGCACCGGCTCCTGCCTCGTCCCACCCTTTGCTACCTCTAATGCATAGGCAGTCTGGGGAATATGCGAGTGTAATTAACCAATAAGCCCAGGCTTATCAGTTTATCATTTATATGACTACATGCTAACATCCCTACTGAATATTTATGACTCTTCTAAATATTCTTTAACCTCTCCTTTCCATGTTTTGGCTTGTGATCCTTCCATTTGTTGTTAATATTAATTGTGATGAGTGTCTGGGCACCATTAACCTGTATAATGAGGACTGACGCAAAATAGGGATTGAACCCATCAGTCTCCTTGATAACCCCTGTTTTAGCTCTTCTTCCTGGCTAAGTAGAAAACCTACACTTTCCTTCATCTTTCTCTTGCTCCAACTCTGTTTTAAGAATCTCTTATTGCCTTTTATGTCCTTTGCTAGGGATAACTCATTTGGTGCTTCAGCCTTCCTGATTTTGTTCCTACATGCTTAAACTATTCTTTTGTACTCTTCCTTATCAATTTATCCTTGTTTTTTATTTTTGTCGGATTCTTTTTTGACTTTCAGTTCATTCATTCAATAGATAACTTCACTGATGGAGCCATTTTGACTTTACTATTCTTCCAATGTTTTCTTCACCTTGGGGTAGTTTGCAGATCTGTCTTTAGTACTGTACCCTTGAGAAAATGCCAGATTGCCTGAACTCTTTTATCCCTTGTATTTTCTTCCCATCGACCTTCCCCTACCACTTTTCTGAATTTGTTGAAGTCTGCTTTTTTGGTCTCTTGTCCTTATTCAGCTGCCCTCACTTCTTCCTTTGTTTCAAACCACAATATCTATGATTTCATCTTCACTTTTCCCCCAATTGCCTTTCACCTTCAGATGCACAGCCAGTTCCTCCCTCTTGTACAACAGTTATCTCTTGGTCAACCAGAAGTTATTGGTTTGGTTACAGGAATTTTGGTTTGAACTTCTTTGGTTTATGCTGTTCAGGAAGCTATACTCAGATCATCATAATGGTCCCTTCTGGCTGTAAAATCTGTTAATCTCTTTTTAAATCTTATTGTGCTCCCTCCTCAGCTCAGATACAATGGATTACTGGAGACCATACGTATTCGGCGAAACGGCTTTGCATGGAGACCCTCTTTTGAGGAATTTGCAGAAAGGTTTGTAAAAATCATGAAATGTTGTTTGGGGAAAATTGGTTGGGGAGTAATTCCTATAATGTGGTGAGGGAAATGCCAGTCTAATCAACAATGAATGAAATGACCTGATTAAAAAGTATGAAAAAGTCCTAAGACAGTGGGTATGGTATGTGTGGGGCATGGGGAAGGTACTGATTTGGGACATCCGTGCTGTAACTGGGGACATTGGTTCACCTCAGGACATCAGAGGCTTATTCATCCTTTTAAAAATTGGTTTGTTTCTTGCAGATATCGAATTCTCTTAATTAAACCAGATGTCCCCCTCACACGGGAGAGGTAAGAACTTTCTTCTCTGCCCTCTGTAATAATGAGTAATGAGCAACACAGGAAATTTCTGAAGAGCAAAATTTGTTGAACCAACTTGGTTGCTCTTGTGAAGGAGTTGCAGACTGAGTAAGTGAAGGAAGCAGTATGGAAAGGATCCTGCAATGAAGGAACTGTACATACCTAAACAGAGTGATTTGGGGTTTGAGAAAGCATTTGATAGAGTGATGTATGGAATTTTTCTCCCCCAAATAATTCATATTGACTTGAATAGGAACTTTGTCACACAGAAGAGAGACTTCCAGCTGAAGGAGAAAAGTGATGATTGGAAGGTTACCAGCTTTGTTCAGTGTGTCTCTCTTCCAGAATCCTCATCTCCCCCAGTTCTTTATTGATGATGTGGTTTATTTGTGTGTGTGTGTGTGTGTGTGTGTGTGTGTGTGTGTGTGTGGCCTTGTTGGCAAAAACCTACTTTTTGTGGGCAAAAACCTACTTCAGCTTCTGCCCAAATAAATGTGTTAGTTTTTAAGGTGCTACAGGATTCCTTGTTGTTATGGCAGTGGGTATGTCTATTGTGTAATCCATCCTGCTTGTGCATCCTTCTACTGTTCAATGATATACTTTATTCCGAATATCTGAAACAATGTACAGATGATATAACTCTCCTATACTGCTAGGATATCATGATGCAGAACTCCTTAGGCTGCGATGGCATTGATATTTATGATGGACTCTTGGAGCCCCAGGCCTCTCTTGATGTGGCTGTGTAGGACCTCATTGAGTACTTTGACACTGGAGATTCTGTTTTGTTAATCTTGAAAAATGATTTTTCTTTTTTACCAGCAGCCTAATGAAACCATACATTAGTTTTCTTTTCTTTACTCAGCGCACAGTCAACCCGTAGAACTCCTTGCCAGAGGATCTTGTGAAGACTAGGACTTTAACAGGGTTCAAAAAAGAGCTAGATAGATTCATGGAGGTTAGGTCCATAATGGCTATTAGCCAGGATGGGTAGGAATGATGTCCCTAACCTCTGTTTGTCTGGAATAGATGACAGGAGAGGGATCACATGACGACTGCCTGTTGTGTTCCCTCCCTCTGGGTCATCTGGTATTGGCCACTGTCAGCAAACAGGATACTGGGCTAGATGGACCTTTGGTCTGACCTAGTATGGCTGTGCTTATGCTCTAGTTCTGTGGTCACCAACTGGTCGATCGGGAGTAACTGGTCGATCGTGAGACCTCGACCAGTCGATCGTGAGGCATTCGGGCCTCCCCAACCCCCATTTTCCCCTCACCCTCGAGAAGCCCCACTACCTACCTCCAGCGTAGTGCCAGCTTCCCACGGAGTGGATGGAAGTCCTGCCTGCAGCTTCGCACCATGTCCGGAGGTTCCAGAAGTGCGCTGGCTGCTCCCCTCCCACAGCTCTGTAGCGTGCTGGGCACGCTGCGGGAGGGGGCATCGGCCCTGGAGGAGCAGTGCAGCAGCTTCCCTGTGCCACAAGAGGGGTGAGTCGAGCGCAGGTGTTTCCCTGCATCACGGGAACCGGGGTTGACCCTGGAGTTTGGCCCTGGGGCAGGTGCGCGCGGGGGTTTGGCCCCGAGGCAGGCACCCATGGGGGTTTGGCTGTGCTGCGGGAGGGGAGTTTGGCCCTGGGGCAGGGGGCCCCCGGGGTTGGG